GTATAATAATGTTGAGACGGAATGCGTATGCACGTACAGTAGATGAGTAGTGGATTCGATAATTGTTTTTGTGTTCGAATATATATTAACATAGTATTACTTCCGTTCTGAGCCACTTAATTCACACTGCGTCATATTCAAATTTAGAAATCAAAATGTTTTATGAAATTATAATTATTAAGTCTACGATTCAAAACCGCGATTTCATGCTTACGCCACATGATGCTTAATTCCTTTTCTTAAAAAAAATACTTTTTTAATAAAAAAGTTTAAATAAGTTTTACACAATTAGTTGAACACAATATCGAATATATGCTTTAAAAATGGTATTTGTTTCTTTAGAAAAGTTAAACACATATTTATACTATGTAAGTATAGATATTTTCTTAGAAAGAGAATTGGATCTCTAAAATTGCAAATTTCTATATTTTGAGCACTTTTCGACATTTGAAGTTTATAATTTTTACTTTTTTCCAAAAATTTTCAGAATAGTTTGTCATTTCTATAACGTGAATAATTTGCTTAAGACTAGCTCCCAATTTCGTAAAAACTATTTTGGAAAATAAATTTTATTCTGTAGAGTTTTTAGTACTAATTACTAGTGCGAACAGTGAAAATATTTAAAAGATGACTCTTTTCCATTACGTAACAGTAAGTTCGCTATATTGCGGCCACTTTACGAACATAACAATTTTTTTATACCCTCAACCATAGTATGGAGGGTACATTAAGTTTGTCATTCCGTTTGTATCACCTCGAAATGTACATTTTAGACCCCACAAACTGTATATATTCTTGATCAGCAGTTAACGATGTTCGTCCGTCTGTGGAAATCGCTCTAGCCTCCGGACGAAATGAAGTAGGTTAATAAAATTTTACTCATATGTATATTATGTCTGCAAGGCTTTCGGTATTTTGGTAATTTTAGCGACATTATTCACCTGAAAAGTTTAAAATTTGGTATTTGAAGTTCGTAATCGATACTACAGCCTAAGACAAAAAAAATATCCGTGCAGGTCCACGCCTTCGTATTGCTCTCATAAACCGGTACCTCCCGATATTCGATATTTTGATGATTTAAGCTACATTATTCACCGACTTTTTTCAAGTTCCGTATTTTAATATTGTAATGGCTTATGATAAAAGTTGTCTATGCAGATCCACGTTGTTGGATAGACCCTAATATAACGGCTACATTCTATATTTATAAGACTTTAACAGAATTTTTAACGAATTTTATTTTTTGAAAATTGCCAAATTCGTTCCAAATGGTGGAGGGTATTCAAAGTTCGGCCCGGCCGAACCTACAGCTTGTTTACTTGTTTAAAATAGGAATAAGAATTTTTAAGTGGCTTAAAACTAGAAAATAAAATACTAATAAAATGGATTTAAATCCGTCAAGTACATGAGAGTATTTTTTTCAAAATAAGAATTTGTTTAAAAATGATTTCCAAAACAAACTTCTCAAAATAATATATTTTCCTAACAAATATGTATTAAGTCAAATTCCCGACGGAATCTTTAACTAAATTTACTTATTCACCAGTTATGTACCTTCAATCAAAAAGTTACAAAGACTCCTTATGTGCTCACAGTGCACCAATACATATGAATATTTGCAATTTCTGCATCTCCTATTCTCTGGTAATAGTGAGAGTAATTATTATGTTATTATTTATTGATTTATTTCAATTGATATCATTTTTACCCAATATTTTTCATTTTTGCATTTTCTGTCATTGTTGTCTACTGGCCTGCTGTTGATGATGTTTAAGCCCTGATGATGCTATACAATACAAATGTACAACATTCCTACACATGTATATATCGATGCATGCATGTTGTATCTGAGAGAACGACACATATTCATCTGTGGGTAAATTTTTCAAGTCTATAAAAGCGGCCGTATAATGAAGTGTACATGTTGTGCATTTTTGCAATTTTAAAATTTATGAACTTCCATGAAAATTCCATTCATATTTTCACAAAAATTGTCTATTCTATATGGGCATCGGTGGATATCCATTAAATGGACAAGCTACAAGAGGGATATTGAAAAATTCAAAAAAGAAAATGCATTATGGATAAAATACTGTGAAATTTTTTAAATTGAATTAAATGAGTAAATAAGGAACAAAACAAAATTGATGGGAATAAACCATTAAATAATATGTTTATACATGGGAGGTAGTGTGAATACGCGAATTGCATTTTTTATAAATTGGGGTACAATATAAAGCCGTCGGTTTTAAATGGTTATAAATTAGTTTGGTTTTAAGGGTTAAGGTACATATTTATTTTCCATTTTAGCAAATGTTTAGTAATTTACGACGAAGTACATGTTTTCAAAATTGCGTTTAAATAAAAACAAGTTCAATAAATAATTACTATCGACAAAAAATACAACACGAACAGATCAAAGACAGGGACGAATTGTTTTCTTGGCCTCAGTTGCAAAACAACTATGTGATAATTTTATAGTGTAATTTTTCAAACTATACAGGATAGAAAATAGAGAATAACGAACTCAAAAACAATTATTCAGGTATGTTATGTGAACCGATTAGATTTTTGGAATCGGAAATGTATAATTTTAGTAAATTTTTTGTGATAAACTAATAATTCTTGACAGAATGCTCTTTTGAATTATAGCTTTAGAGTTCAATCACAGTTTTTATAAAAAAGATTAGACAGAGTGAACGAAAATGTTGTTCACAGCACCTGATTATTTATGCACCAATTATAATTAATATCCCTGAATAAGTGCAAACCCTAATATATTCAGTTTTTTTGTAACTGCTGTTTTTGTAGAAATAAAAAGATTTCCAAAAGCAGTTATAAAACATACCTATTAAAATAAAAATGTTTGATGATGTCTTACAAGCCATTATGAATATTCAAAATCTTTAGATCGAACCACATAAAATATTGCATGCTAAAGAAACAATTTATGTGGTAAACTCTTTTGGATGGAATAACATTTCGAGACGGAAAAATAGCCTCTCATGAAAATTGTAGCATTGTAACAATATATAATATTAGGTAATTGAAATAACCGAGATTATGGTTAGCGATCCTTGACTCTAAGTAACTGTCTTTTGTTAAAAATTTCATAGATTTAAATCGGTTCTGTTACTGTTACTATATTACAGTTTTAACTAAATATAATGCCCCTAAGAAATCATTGATATTTTTTCCCCCAACTACAAGGTTAGATGAAAAAACTGCAACCAACTTCAGACTGCTGTCATTTTTAAACCCCTCGTCCGACAGCTGTTCAAATTATTCCAGTGACATCACTATATTGTTTACAAGCATACAAAACATTTTCAAGAAAAAAATTATTGGTGATGGAATCTAAGCGTGATAGTGTGATTTTTTATATTTGGCTGAAAAACCACAAAAGGCTATCGGTAGAGCACTCCAGCATTTAACTGGGAATAAATGTTTTGTGTCTCGTACCATCGCTCGTTACGTGATACTGGTAGTGTAGCCCGACGCCAAGGAAGTGGACGGAAGAAAACAGCAACATCAGCAGAAATGGTACGAAAAGTAAAGAAGCGACTTGGTCGAAACCCGCGTCGCAGTGGCCGAAAAGAGGCTCGTGAGCTTAACATATCGCAATATTCCATTGGCAAAATTTTGAAGAATGAGCTCGGGGTAAAGCCATTGAAATTCCAAAAAGTGCAAGAACTTACACCTTAAAAGAAAGAAAATAGACTTAAAAGAGCTAAAGAGTTACACCGCTTGGCCGAAGGTGGTGGAATGCCGAATTTAGGTTTCTCCGATGAGAAAACATTCGTTGTGCAGCAGTTTGTAAACAAACAAAATGATCGTGTTTACTTGTCAAAGAGGTCATCTGAAAATGTTAACTTTCGGTTGGCCACCAGAACTCAGGCGCCGGCTTTGGTGATGGTGTGGGCTGCATTACAGCCGATGGACGTTCTCCGCTCTTATAAATAGTCCGTGGCATCAGAATAAATACCGAATATTATCGCAAAAATATTCTGAAGGGTGTATTGAAGCCTTGGGCACAGAAATATTTTGGCCGCAGGCCTTGGACATTCCAACAGGACTCAGCACCATCGCACTCAGCACGCGCCACCCAAGAGTGGTTACAAAATGAGGTTCCTCGCTTTATTTCCAGCCCCAATGGGCAACAAAATCTCCGGATACTAATCCGTTGGACTATTGTGTCTGGAGTATTTTGGAAAGCAAGGTTGACACTAAAAAATACCAAAGTGACGATCACCTCAAGCAAGTGCTTCGCCGGGAATGGGCGAAAATACCGCAGAGCAACATTCGGGCAGCGTGTGACGGTTTCATTGGCCGTATGAGGGCCATAATTCGTGCCAATATTTATGCAATATTACAAAGAAGAATCTAAAACGAATCTAATTTAATAATCGTATGGAAAATTCAATGAGCTAAATGCTATTCCATCTAGCGATATAGCCTGATTGTATTTTTATTGAGGTCTTTTTGAGGGATCTAAGATACAAAATATGAACTTTTTCATATAAAATGTACAATCAATGTCTAAAAATTCAACATTTCGGTAAGACATGTCGTCTTTTTGGATTAGGTTAATAAACTTTTGAAATTTTTGGATATTTAGTAGATTTTGGTAGAGATCCGAAAATACTGAGATCCATAAATACTAAATATTTTTTATTAAACCTAAAAATTGTAAAAGCTATTATATAGTTCTATATCTCATCTGAACTGACGAAGCCAGAAATGTCTTGGCTTTGGGGGAACCCCAAGTAAAAGAAATTAGCTTTTCTACCAAAGTACTTTAAAAATGTGTAAAAAGCATAGAAAACATAGAACGAATTTATAATATTTTTGATTATTATGTTTCCGGCAAATACTTTGGATTCTTTCACCAAAGGTTCTGTCCATACCTATCCTCGTTGTTCCCAAAATGAGTTTCTATTGTAAATTTTCTCGCCATGCTGCAAAACAGCCAACATATTTCTACTTTTTGCAGTACTTACATTTAATCCTTTGCTAGTAGAAAATGAAATACAGCTCCACCCCAAGGACTCCAATGAAATGTCGTTTTCCTCGTTGTTTTGTTAGAAATGCAAAAAAACACACAAAGATTGCTCTTTTATCTTGCTTGCTTGCTCCTCATTCATAGAATTTGCACATACACAATAAAAAATGTTTCGAAAGTTATGATGCACTAGTTTTTTTTTCTTCGTTGCACAAGCAGATGACAATGGATTGACAGTGGTAACAGATTTATTATTTAATATTGAAATATTTTTGTTTTTTTTTTTTTAATTTTGTAATACAAATTAATTTATTTAAATTAAATTTTAAATTATTACTAATTTCATTAATGATGAGACTAGAAAGATTAACTATGATTTCTTTTATGGTTGTTGTTGTTTCTTTTTTCTTTATTTTTAAAATACTTTTGGCATTAATTATAATAAGAGAGGGGGTGTTGCGTTTTGTTTTCTATTACATAAAGTTTTATAACCAATTTCAATGTTTCAATTTGCTTTTTTCAAAATTTGATAATTGGCACTGTATGATTCTTTTTTATTTTTTGTTTATTGCACTAATTTTGTTTGTTTATTATTTTTTCGTGTTGGTTTTTTAGTATTTAATTAATTATTCCTTAATGATTTATTTTTATGTGGTCTTCCACAACTATGCCTTCTTTTTTGTTTGTTTTGAATGGATGTTTTTAATTGTTGTTGCTTCGCTCCTCTTCAGGTGTTTAAGTAATTTATTAATTTTTGTTTTTGGTCTTTGTTTTTATTGCCATTCATCTACCGGCCTTGTATTTGCCTTATGTTTAGATTGTTGTTGCTGCTGCTGATTTTTTGTATCATTCTTTGAATTATAGTTGTTTTTTTTTGTCCAATTTTTATCTGTGGCAGCAGTTAGTACATTGTAAGTTCTTTTGTTTTTGTTGTTGGTAGTTGGTATCTAATGCCTTGATTATGTCTACCAACGCGCTACCGTTTTGTTTGGATGGACTGTAAACATACGAATAAATTTCAGTTTTTACGATTATTGTTATGATTATTTTTATGACTGACTGACTGCCTGTCTATGATGTGTTGTGTTGACGACCGCGTAGCAGTAGTATTAGTCTACCGAACGATATAAGCATTGATGATGATCCGGCAATGGCGATACGGAGGACGCTGTTTGTTATTGATGATGGCTGCTGCCGTCTTCTATGGCTGCCAGCCTGCCTATGAATGTGTGCGTGTGTGCGATATTTGTTGGTTGTTTGGTTGGTATTGCTGCCGCTGCTGCTGCTTCGCACTTCGTACATGCACTGGTAGCTGTAATTGTTTTTGTTGTTGCTCTTGTCAATGTAAAACTGATGCCGGAGTGTGCCTTCCCCTAAATACCGAATTCATCATCATCAGCAGCCAGCCATCCAGCCACCACTTGTGACTTGTGTTTTCCTATGGCTGCTCTTCTAACAGCCCTTGTATGCCCTTTTTTCTTATTGTCAGTCCCTTTGTAATTGGAATTTGTTTTTAAACTCCTACGTTATTTTTTCCTATTGTGGCCCAAAACTATGTTATTTACGAGGTTACAGAGTTTGGAGGTTCCATACAATAGTTTATAGAAAGGAAAATATTCATTCACAAATTATAAGCCAGCCAGCTTATGACATTATCACTATTTCGAAAACCATTTTTTGACCATTTTGCCGAGACCGTCGTCTAATTTTATTAGTTTGATATTTATTCCCCGATTTGTGGTCTACAAAAGTTTGCCTTTTTATGACCGTTTCAATTGCATTTTGTTCTTTTGCTAATTTTTTATGGCTATTATTTTATTACTATTAGTATTGTTTTGTGATGATGTTGATTTCTTTACGACTTCTATCGAACTAAACCCATAAACTATACGTTTCGTAGCATATACATGTGAAAAATTCGAGCAAAAACACTTTGGCTTGCTGTGTTTTGTGTCGTTGGTTGATTTTTTCTTCTGGTTCCTTCTGACTTTCTGCTGCTTTTTTCTTCTGGTTCTTCTCGTGGTTCTGGTGCTGCAGAAGAGCGCCGCGTAAACATGTAGAATTTCTTAATTCAATTCGATACGAGTCGAGTCGGAACACACCAACAAAAGGCAAACCAGAGATCCGTAATGAAATTGTAGTATAAAAAGAAATTTATTGCGCCGCACAGCGTTTGAACGCCGACGTTGTTGTCGTACGTCAAAAGCTACGCCACCGCAGCCGCCTCCGGCAATGTGGATATTCAGAAAAGCTACTAAACAACTCATCGGGCAAACAAACATATGCTGAACGAACAAGCTAGTCTAGTAAAAGGGGGAAAGGAAATTCGTATTGTAAGCAGCCTGAGTACGCTGAGCAAAAGGCAAACGACGACAACAACAATGGCCACACAAAACCTCAATGTTCTCATATAAATAATACAGCACACATGACAAACACACAAACCTACATATGTACATGCGTGTATGTGTCCCTTACAAAGAGTTCTGCCAATGACACAGCTGACGGCTCTGTTGGCATTTCCAACTTCACTTTATAAATAATCTTATAAGACACTCAATGAGCTGAATCACAAAAAGAGCACAAACATTGCAAGCAAGCCACCTACATTGCGAGCGACCAGCCATCTATTCATCCAACCTACCCGCCAATCTTCTCTCATTTTCCAAGCACTGTTCTCTTCTGAGACAATAAATTCATCACATAATAAAACCCACTGTGCACATAAAACTATTACTCTGCTGAAAAAAACCCCTCTCTAACTCAGCGGGTGTTCTTCGTTGACTCATATTCGGTTATTTATGTTCTCAGCGAAGCAGCCAACATCAACTGTGCCACATTGCCGGCGTCAACATCGCCGTTACGTTGACGTTGCGTCTCGTAAATTTTGCGGCAAGCAAATGTTTTGAGTGACCACGCGTAGCGCCGAAGCAATAAAGTATTCCTGGGTCTGTTTTGCGAAATTTATTGTGTGAATTTTTCTTTTCACAGTGCTTTTGCAGGGCTCTCCACAGAATATAACAGAGACCCACGCACACACACACACAGTCAGACTACAATGTGAAGAGTATAGAGAGGGAGAGCCCTATGCTGGTTTCTTCGTAGAATTTGAGTGAGTTATTGTGATTTGTTTCCTTTGCAGGGTTTTGTTTTGTGTATATTTTGGGTTCTTCCTTCGGTTTTTACTCACAACATTTTCTTTGACAAGTTTATGTGAGAATTTTTGTTGGTTGGCTGGTGATTTTGTTACTCTGTGCGTATTTAAGTTAGCATGAATTGAAGAATGCAGAATAGGATTGCTTATTTGACATTTTTATTTTTAAAAATTTATAAAAAGAAAAATATTTCAACTCGTCATTAATAGTTTTTGTCAATGTCAATTCTGTCAATTAGCCTGTTCAAATTGAAGTTCTATATTTATCGAAAAACTATAAAAACTGCACAGGGTTACCAAAACAGTTAATGTACACCTGTTCGTGGGATCATACATTTAGTTAATGCGATTATTATATTTTATCCACGATGGGCCTTCAGTACTAGCGAAGCAATACATATTCTTAAGAATAAATTAGTGGAGATATTACATTAAAAAAATCGGAACATTTACATTTTACGAGCGTCGTTTTATTCCCTCCTCCATAGAATGTATATATATTCTTGATCAGCATAAAGTTCTATATCGATTTAGCTATGTCCGTCCGTCTGTGGAAATCACTCTAGCTTCCGAACGAAATGAAGTAGGTTGATAAAATTTTACTCAAATGTATATTATGTCTGCAGCACTTTTGACATTGAAAATGGACCATGTAGGTCCACTTTGTGGTATAGCCCCCATATAATGGTACCTCCCTATTCTCGGCATTTTAGTGATTTAAGCGAAGTTCATAATGGATACTACAGCCTATGACAGAGGATATTCAAAGTTCGGCCCGTCTGAACTTACAGCTTTTTTACTTGTTAAGATATTAAGTAATGTTAATAGAGCTCTTTATACAAAAACATCTGTGCAAAATATTTATAATTATTCTTTTTTTTAATACCGCCCTATGGAACACAAACATTTAGAATTTTTTAAGAACTTGAATTTTGGCCAATATCAAGAGGAGTGCACCATCTCATCTTTATACGAGATCCTATTTATACCCTACAACACTATGTGTTGGGGGTATTATAAGTTTGATTGGGCCAGGATTTATGTAACACCTCGAAATATTGGTTTCCCATATAGGAAAGTATATATGGATCTTCCTAGCTCGCCGAGCTGAGTTGATCTAGCTATGTATGTCCGTCCGTCCGTCTGTCCGTCTGTCCGTCTGTCCATGTTAATTTCTTATCACTCTACAGGTCGCAATTATGGCCCGATCATCACGAAATTTAGAATGGCGGTGGGGTTAAGTTCAGAATAGAACCCTATTTCTTTTGGAGATAATCGCATAATATTTAGGGGTTGAAATGGACCAAATACTGAAAAAATGTCGGATTTTACAGTGGCTATACAGGTCGCAATTATAGACCAATCGACGCGGAATTTCGCATGTAGCTAGAGTTTAGGGCGGGAAGAAGCCTACCAATTTGGGTGGTCATCGGATAATATTTAGCGGGTAAAATAGACAATATCTTTTTTGTTGAAAAAATTCAAAATTTTTCATTAAACCGCCAAAATTTTAAATCCCGGCGAAATCACAAAGCCATGACAAGGTTACTTCTGATCTTTACATTGATGTTAAGATACAACAAATCGGATATATAGCAATATATGTGCGATATATATGACTATCAAAGAAGATATGCTTGAAAGATCTCATATATGTCGAGAACGGCTGAACTGATTTCGACAGTTCTCATTAATTCAGAATGGCCTCTTGGCAGGAAACAAAAAACGTCTAAAAAATCGCATAAAAATATCTCTCTAAAGATGAAAATATTGATTTTTTAAAATTTTCTCATATTTTTTCCATTTTGTCATATTTTTGGCATATTTTCATTTTGAATTAAACATTTGGTAATATTTCTTCAGCTAACAAAACTAAGTAGTTAGGATATCAGGATATCATATACAGATCGCATTTATGGACCGATCCTTACGAAATTTTGCATGGGGATAAGATGAGGGTCAGAATAGAAGTCTACTCTTTTTGGAAATGATCGCCATATATTTAGGGTTGAAATGGACCAAAAACTGCAAAATTGTCAGCAGGTCGTAATTATCGCCCGGTCCTCACGCTCATTTGAATGGGGGTTACCGGACATTGCAAAAGCCAAGCAGTTTTGGATGACCATCCAAAAATATTCAATGTGTGAAGGAATTTGCGAACTTTTGTAGACAAAATACGAAAATGTCCATTCCAGTCGCTTTTTGGAGAATTCACAAATACAGGAAAGACGCACTTCTGACTATTTCGTTGAAGAATATTGTCAAATGTCTGTATTTCATATAGATGCGTTTCAGTCAAAAACCAATAATAAATGTTAATTTTTTCCCACTTCTGAGAGATTATAGGTCTTTGGGAAATATTGGTTCGGAACCTGATATTTTTCTTATATTATTTGTTAAAATATCTTGTGGAATTCTTTCGAGTATCTCGCCTATATAAAATTTATCATTTATTATAGTGTTGTAGGGTATTCAACGGTCGGCCCCGCTCGACTGTAGCCTTTGCTTACTTGTTTATATTTATGACATTAATTGGTATGCAAAAGCTTTCTATTGACCAATATATGCTCACATGAAAGTATATGTTCGTAAATATCAATCCAATCTCACCATTAATTTGTTGATGATGAATTTCGTAAATATGATACCATAAACAGCTATAATCCCGATATAAAATTCGATACAAGGTATCACATACTGACCAAAAATGTTTCTGCTAAAAGTTGCCAAGTGCTAACTAGCTTCCATGCATAATTTTCTCCGAATTTATGTATATAACGCACAAAAATGATAAGTTTCCATTTATAATGAATCTTGCATCATACAATCAAGTGTCGACCAAAAAAGTATACCAAATATAAAACGAATTTGTTTAGATGTAGTTACAAGCCCCATATAAATGTTTCATTTGATTAATATAAGCCTTGCTAATGTAATAATATGCTCATTATAGCAATGCTATTCGTTACGAAATAAGACAGCATACGTAGAAAATTCAATTTAAAATCAAATCAATCAAAATCAATTTTATATATTTAAAGTTTCGATCTTAATCAATTGATGTATATATTCACTTTTTATGTAGACTTCAGTAAGCAATACCTTTCAAGATTAAGTTTTAATTCAAACGCATTTCCAAACAAATACGTTGTCATTTTTCGTTTCATATTCTCAAAAAATGGAGAAGTTCTCTCTCTATAACATTTATAAAATTGGTTAACTATTTTGTATAAATCCTAACCAATCTGTCCGGATTTTCTCAACATAAGGCTTCCGTCGAATTTTAAACTCATTTGTCTTTAAGTTGTAATTTTGAGTGAAATATATGCACTACAAACGCATTTTAATATCGTCCAACAACTCCTCGCAAAACATGTCTAAGATATACAAAGCCCCCATATAAAGACGGCTTCCGATTGTTGGGACGTGTAAGGTCGTGTTGTTGTAATTGTTTTGAAAGAAAAAAGTATTGAAAATGTTATTTTTTAAGGGCAGATAATGGTTTTTGCTTTTTTGTACCACTCGACAAACTAAAAACAAATTATTGATTTTTGTAATCGAATTCTAGTAACATTTTTTGAAGAAACCCATTTCTATGAGCAATGTTTCGATTTGCCGATTCCAGTTACCATTCGAGTAAAAGGCAGAAGTAGATATTTACAGAAACCCAAACTGTACATGTTTTAAGTTGGAATTAGGCCGCTATTTAAACTTGGTAACCCTATTTCAAAATAAATCTCTTCCTCTCTGAAATGGCAACGAATTTATGTTGGTTAAGAAAAATCCAAATTGAGCTCATAAACCATGCAACTCTACAAAGCTAATACTCTGAATAAGGACTCAGAACA